TATTAAAGAAATTTATCGAGACATGTTTTTACAACGACAACATTGTCTATAAGTGTGCGGAGAACATGGTTTACCAAAAACAAGTTCGAATAACAGAGGCAGACTGATTAACCGTAAACAAAATTCGATAAACAACAGAGTTCGATGTTAAGTGCACTGGTCAGATGCAAATGGAAGACTTTTGTGGAGTATTTATTTGTTGTCGACATTTGGCACAACTTGACAATCATCGATCTGCGACAACACAAAATAATAGCAGACTGACTGAAAATTATAAACAAACCCTATAAGTTCTATGTGACAACGTTTTGCTAACGCATCTTGAGTGAGACAGCGACAAGCAATGTCACTTGCATACATTGTGGTGCGGGGGAAATGATGGTGAGAAGGGGATTAAAAGAGATAAATCGTTTGGAAATTATCGGAAATGGGGGGGGGGATGGGGGGTCGTTGTTGATGAACGTGGTTGGAAGAGCTAATGATAGGGTACGATTGAGGAATTAGTAATGAAGGAGACCAATGAAAGATGGAAGTAATAAAATAGAAGAGATTTGACATCGAACAATTGAGATGAACGAAGTGCGGCGATCAAGCTGATCGATCGTCTTACAACGGCATATTAGCGTGTTTCTTCCAAGGATTCGACATTTTCTTCGACTCAAGTAAGTTCAAGTCAAGGCAGATGCGCTTACGAGTCGTGTGTGGCTCAATGATATCATCGACGAAACCTGCAAATTACAAATCATGTATAGAAGTACAGAGCAATGAACTTCTTAGATGGATACGAAACGATCCGAAATGTATTCAATTAGATAACACAAACTCGTGATCTCATCAAAACACTGACATCAGTAATGAACCCGTCAGACGCATACAAAACGCTTTATGTGAATTTGATTCGGTTAAACGACGAGAGACTTGCTTATCAAATAATTTCTTCCAGATAAACGACGAGAGATAACGAAATTTCTTGGATGTAAAATATCTGTTTCTGAGCTTGCATAGTTATTTATGTTCAGAGCGATCTGCCAACTAGTAGTACAGTTTTTTAACGATAATTTCCAGCTCATTATGTTTAACGAAACAATTGTTCACATTTTGAGCGCCCGTTCGAAATTTATTGAGTCACCTGTTATTTACAAAAAATCATATCTTTCTTCACGTAGAAGCAAATTTTTGCTTCTAAGACAAAATATTACTTGCAAGAGAAAATATCATAGAAATCATTGAAATTATTTGCAATGGTATTTCCTCAGTGAAAATGAGTGAGTTTCCAAACTTATATTGAGAGGATCAACCTCAAGTCAGATGCATTTTAAATTTTAAAACGTTTCTATTTCATATACTACTGTTCACTTCGTCTCCGAATGCATTTAACGGGTGTTCATCTAGTTCAATTATGACCAAAAATGGCAAAAACTTTTGCCTTGTTCTTCGCATAGTTCCCAACAAAATACAATGAGAAGGCAACAAATCAGTCTATAACTAATAGAATATACCTCTGACAGCTGCTGGGAACGGATTACCGAACAAGTCAATGTATTCTTCTTCGTGTTTTGCTACGTTCTCCTGGTCGTGACGGAACAAGATCTTCACTGCACCCTGGAACAGTATTGCTTTCAGAACTTGTTTTTCGAATTGCACGAATCATTTGCGTTCACCTATTGTGAGAAGTGTCACACAATTTCGCTGCTTTTTAAAACAATTATCGACTCGAATTGAAGCAAAGGTAGCCTTACCTTAGCACCCATGACAGCGACTTCGGCTGTTGGCCATGCATAATTGATATCACCACGAAGATGTTTGGATGACATCACACAGTATGCACCACCATATGCCTGTAATTAGCAATTCAGTTATTCGATAGACAAGTTTCGGTATTGACTGAGATCTTATGAGAACATGAAGAAAGGAGCGATAATGATTGAATCATATTTGTAAACAAACAGATCTAGAATGTAGCAATACCTTTCTTGT